GGGCAGGGCCGGCGGGGCCTGCTCGGGGAAGGCCCGGCCCCCGCCCCTTCCTTACAAAATTCCGCACAAAAAATTGCGTGGGCAGCAACCGAGCTCTCGAATTTGATCAAAACCCCTGAATTTCTGAGGACTGCCGGAGGCGGCTAGTCCTCCTGAGCCTAGAGCTCTCCCTTCCCAGCTCGGTGCCCCACCGCTGCTCTTTTTGTGGTAATTTCACTGGTTTTCGGTCGAGGCCTGTTTCCAGCAGGCCCTGCAGCAGCAGCCCAGCCTGCGGCAGACATGCAAATAAGCCCTGGCAATTCGATATCGTTTTTTGCTTTGATAAAGGAGGTTATGCATTAAGCTGGGGGGGGGGGGGGGGTTTTTTGATGCGCTGGATCAGTTTTAGCCAAGATGAATATGATCAAAATTAACTTTCTGTACTTAACTCTTGTTTTTGAGCTGTTGTTACCCCATAGTGAGTTTAATGGTGATTCCCTGTGCATAGTCCAGCGTCACCAGCTACTTAATGACAAAGAAATGTACTTTTAACTGCATGGCTGTACTAGCTGTAAAGCCCAAGGGTTGCTTTCGGAACATGTAACATAACATCACCCGTGACTTGAAGTTATATTTTAGTTTAAAATTATTTCATGTAGCTCACTTGAAATAATACATTCCATGTAAGTACCTTAATTTTCAGGTATTTCAGAGAATACAGTTAAAGATGCATTAAAAAAGGAGAAATTGACAGTCTTTAAATGCCTCCCTGCTTGTCAGTTTACTTATGATCTTTTTCCTTATTTAAAAACATCTTGAGGTGGTTGAAGGTTGAGCTGTTTATCTCAGTGTAAGGGACTGCAAGGGGGAAAGATGAGTTCCTTTGGACTTTATTTTCCTGTTGAAATGCATGGAGTCAGCATGACTTAAAAAATAATTGAGCAACCAAAACAGAGGTGCTATCTTGTATTGCAGAGCTCAGGGAGAACAGTCTTGCTGTTGGCAGAGTGTGTTGATTGACAGCATGTTGGCTACCAAGCTGTCCCGGCCTCTCCTGAACTTCTCTGTGAAAGCCCTGAATTTCAAGAACGCAGGAAATGGCTTCAGGTAAGTAACTTGGTGGAGAAGAAGAAGGTGTGAGATCTTGAGTAAAGCACACATCGAGGACTCATTTGATTTTAGCGGGACAGTTTATTTACAGAATCACAAGATGGTTGCGGTTGGAAGGGACCTCTGGAGGTCATCTGGTCCAACCCCCCTGCTCAAGGAGGGCCTCCTAGAGCTGGTTGCCCAGGACTGTGTCCAAATGGCTTTTGAATATCTCCAAGGATGGAGACTCCACAACCTGCCTGGGCAACCTGTGCCAGGGCTCGGTCATTGAGCTGAGCACAGAGGAGATGGACTCTATATGCGAGGAGGGGTTGGCAACACGGTGGTTTTTTTACACTTGGACAGTCATCTGCAGTCAAAAGGGGGTTGAGTAGAGCATTAATTCAGTGTCAAGCAAGGATTTATTCCTGAATATCAGCAAGTAGGCCTTGCTGCAGTGCAAGGAACTGTCATATATTTCTGTGACTTCATTAAAGAGGCAATGAATCACATGAAATGAGAGAGAAAGTTGAGAGGGAGGGTTTTAGTGAGAAATGGAGGTGGGCTGAGTAACAAAGCTGTTTTTTTCTGACATGAACAGAAAATTGCCTATCTAATTCTAATTCCTAGCTCTAAAAAAAATACCTTTTATATTGATATATGATGGGAACCCTACTAGTCCAAATTCAGAGCAAGTTGAGTGCTTTCACTGGCTTTGCTTTAGAGCAGGGTTCCCAAACAATGGTGTGGGTACCACTGGTTGTACATAAGCCGTTTAAAAGTGGCTCATGGCCTGCTAAGCAAGAACTGCCACCTCCAGTGTTTCTCTACTGCTGTTGATAGTGGTGTCCAGCACCATCACTGTCAAGGATGGCTCCCGTAACAGGGAGTTGTACAGACCGAAGATAGCTAAGCTGTTAGAGATTTCCTATGCAAACAGACATAGGCCTTTTATTGCCTGTTTACTCCACACACACCAAAGCTGCACCTGCAGGAATCCGCTGTGGCCTTAAAAATACAAATTAATACTTTATTAACTTGAGAAAAGAATTTTCAGCATATTCTTTTTTTTTTTTTCTTCTTCTTTTGTTTACTTTCGTTTTGTGCTCTATGCATCTTGTACTCGGGGCAAAAATGTATTGCGTTTTTTGAGGTACCCACAAGCTGCTAAACCTGAAATGGAAATCCAGCTGTTCATCTGAAAGGCAGTGTTGTCACTGTACCAGTGTCTTAATGCATTGAGGTAGCATTTATATACTTGACTCTTCAAGCCGAGGACTGCCTTTTTTGGTGTAACTGAACAAAAGCGAATGCATGGTTGCAAGCACAGATTCAATTCGAGGACCATCTGTGCATTTTAAAAGTCTCGGTTGTGGTCTTTAGAATTCAGTCATGCAGAATGACAAAAATGGCTCATGGTACATTAGTGTACTGTGTGGGGGCTAACGTTGCATATGCATCGTAACTGTTTCCTCTGATGACGTTCCTGCT